CTACATGTACCTGTATGTAATAGAGTGCTACATGTACCTTTATGTAATAGAGTGCTACATGTACCTATGTAATAAAGTGCTACATGTACCTGTATGTAATACAGTGCTACATGTACCTGTATACATGTAATACAGTGCTACATGTACATGTATGTGTATGAGTACAATGCAGGCCTGCACTATGTCCTACTTTCCTGTACAGCCTACAGAAACCTTTGTACATGTACATGTGTGTACCGGCAGACTAGAAGAAAAAGATAATGAAAGTTTCCTAGTGAGCATTTGTATGGATCCTATGGTCTTTATTCTTACTGTTACATACATGCACCCATTGTCAAGATGTCTTGAAGGCTTTATTACATGAAACAGTACCGGTACGTTAGTGGACATTCATTCATGTACCTATATGTACGTGTTTGTACATCATACAATGTACATACATGTAATTACATGAATGTAATCTGTGTGTACAAGTACATGAAAGCACGTTTGACCTTCAAGTTCAATCATCAATTACATGTACCAGCTATTGTCAACACAGCAACAGTCAGCTCTAAATGTCACAATAACTGATGTTTTAGCCTGTCGTCTTGTAACCATGGTGCTTCATACATGTACACCTGAAAGTACTAAGTACCAGTACATGTACTCACAACATCTACGGTAGCAGTGTATAGTTCACATACTCCGTACATGTACATCAAGTACACATATAGTACTTTCAAGTCCTTACATGTACATGTATGCACACTGTTACATGTACAGAGTAGACATTGGTTCATTACAGTTGTGTATCAGTGTATGGATATGTACCGGTAGGAAAATGCACTGTGCTTCAAAACACTATCAAGAATTTTTTACCTAGAGTCAGTCCAATAATAAATGTACCCCAGACAAACTACATGTACAACATCACTGATCTCGGTTCAAGTTAAACAGTTATTACAACTCCTGAAATTAAATATTAGAAAACTTCCAGCTGGACCAAAATGCTGGCTCTCAGCTCACTGAGTTGATGTCTAATTCTGTGTTCATCAGGACTGCATATGTCTGTTATGATGACTCCAGTGAACCTTGTCCTCTTTGTTTATGTCATGTTGGCAATGACTTGTTTCCTACTGGGAATGACAAATGAAATAAATCGGAACTTTAAACCTGGGATTACTATTTGGGATAAGAGATGTCTGTGCTCAAATACTGACATGCAAGCAGTGAGTGGTTCAATACACTGTATGTGATGTGACCACTGATAAGGGACAGTAATGCCAACCCTTGAATTACACATATGTACATGTACATTTTGCCTGTACATGTACATGTATGAGTAACAATGCAGTTTTATTAATGTACCGGTATTGCCAGGCCTGTGGTTTGCTTTCTTCATGTACCGGTATGAGTACAGTACATGTTCAACATTCAGTTGCTTTCAGTGAAAATCATAAAATGCAATACAAACCTCATCATAAACGGGTATCTTCAAACCTCAAATTTCTTTCAAGGGACACTAATGAATCCAACAGAATCTTATGGCAGCAAAGTACGATACATTTGTACATGTATGTGTACATGTACACATGTACCGGTATGGGGCTTGCTGTACCCACTGGAATACAACTAGAAATTGTACTATTTCGTGTACATCACGAGAAATTCATTGGTTTAATATCCAGATCTACATGTACATGTATGGCATACCGGTATGACCATGAGATACATGTACATGTAAATGTAAGAGTCAAATAGGCCAGTACTGGGGTACATGTCCCAATGACATTCCTATGAATGATACTACAGTGTATATGGGTAACAGTACCGGTACATGTAGGTCTATGCACATGATATGCAAACCAACTGTCAGCTTTTTCAGTATGTACAATATACCAGTATTCTATCGCACTAGATAATTTCTGAACACTGGAATTGCCTTTTGCTCCTGCAATGAGAGATTTGTAAATTGAGACATGGAACTTTCCAACAAACTTTACTATAATGGATTCCATTCCCTCCAATCACAGGGAATGTTGGAACTGCTTCATATGAGCATCTCGAAGTGAAGACCAAGGCAGTACATGTATGTATGTATGAGGCACATGATGAGCAAGCATGGGCATTTTGGCTTCTGTGTAACAAAAGCATTCAATACTTCTTTTGGCAATAACAACATCTGGGAATTTATTTACAACCCCCGCCATCACAGAATCAGCCAGACAGCAACAGAAGCTTGTTTCAGTACAGTCTGCTCACTCACACAGTCTGCTCTCACTGCTGAAAAATGATTTCTGCATGGAGGAGTACTGGTACATGTACACAGCACACTGGCTTCCAGACATCACCTGGCAACTACCAACCCAACAATTTGCTTAACTAAGATGTCTACTCCGTGTCTCTAATTATAGTGTTTCTACATGATACATGTATCTGCAAGCAGCTTCGGTCCATGTACATGTACATGTATTGTTTATGTACAGTTGTACTTGTACTGGTACAGTACCGGTACATGAACAGAATAACTTAACTAGACTCACCGGTACATACAGGTACATGTACTGAAGCTCCCCACCATCACAACAAAATTGCATAAAATAGGAGAAAAAGTGAATCCTAAGCAGTTACTAATACATGTAAGTACATTAGTTGATCTTCACCCTAAGCTTCTTGTTCCATTTCCTGCTCACCTTCCCTGGGGAAAAAAATTGATTTCCCAAATTCTGAGCCATGATGACTGGCGTACAGACACACACCTAAGGGGTAGACATTAGCATGTGACTGATGCGATCAGTAGCGTCATACATACATGTACCGGTACATCCAATCTGCATCCCTTATTCACAAGACGCATACTGTAGGTTACCGCAAGGTATCAGTAATATTGGGATCAGTTACACCAAGGTATCAGGGAAAACCTCCCTTGGTGGTGAATCAGATTTAAAGGGGCTTGACCTTTCCATTTTTTTTGGCATTGTACTATTTTCATTTACTCAAATATCAAACTGTGAGGCCATATTGAGGTTGAATAGAATTCCCCTTGGTAGTACCCCATACATTTCAAATTTGAGTAATGCCAGGAATGACAGGCAGATCTGACAGTCTTGTAATACCAGTTTTTAAAGAGTAGCTGGTGTCAAAATCCTTATATTGTACATGTAGGTGAACCATACATCACAAAGTGCATTGTAGTGTACATAGTGAATGAAAGCACTCCTTTCAGAGATTTCCAGCTTTCATTTGTGTACGTGTACGTACATACATGGTACATGTTTTCATACACTTCTAAATGACCCACATGCTGATTAACTGGATACATGTGCATGCACATGCTGCACTTCAGTTTTCCTTCAAAGAAGTAAAAACAATGTTTTTCTCCAGTGATCTGAAAGTTAGTGACGTGCACACATGTACATGTACATAAATGTACATGTACATGCACATGTGCGTACCTGTATTTGCACAGTGTATTTACTAGCAGGGTTAGACAATAGCTATTGACATACCGGTACATGTACCGGTACATTGACATGTATAATTTATGAAAACATACAGATCCAAGGAGCCAATTTTACTGTTTTGAGATATACATTGTATGCATGCATGGTACAATGTACTTTATGTATTAGTACATGTATGTACATGTACACGTGCATGTACACATTAACTTGCAATTTGTAAGCTACCGGTCATGTGAAAAATTTCTTTCAGTGTTTTGAAGATTTTGTTGTACAAAGCACACAGAGAACCTCTGCAATCATGCCCTGGGATTTAGCTGTCGGACCCTCAATCCCTGATCTGAGATTGCCTAAAATTACGGTACATGCACCATACCGGTACGTGTATCTCACTTCCTTCACTCCGTGTCCAAGCATGAGAAATGAGTTAGCAGACCTCCTTCCTAGCCTACACTATTTAATTAGTACCATTACCCAGGCTGTGCAAACAGCAAAG